GTACCGGTTGGAGCCACCAACCGGTATTAAAGGTGGTGCGCTGCCACCCGCAGTGCACAATGTTTAGTCCCACCTCGCTAGTTGAGAGGAGCTCGCACCAGTTTATAAGCCCCGCTGCGGCTACCATGTTGAGCTCCTCTCTAAGCAGGCCTTTGTGGGCCTGCGGTGCCGGCCCAGTAGGCGGGCTGTTTTTGCTTTATTTCAAAAATAAAAATAAAAAAATCCTTACCAACCGGGACTAAAGGTTCCCCAGACCACGGCGCGCCTCGTGCCACGTGGTGGGCCTTTGGTTCTGGTTCGTGTTGAACCGGTACTAAAGGGGGGGAGGGGCTTTAGTCCCCACTCTTTAGTACCGGTTCCAGAACCGGTACTAAAGGTCCTTACGAACCGGTACTAAAAGTCGTTTTTCTATTAGTGTATCATGCATGCCAACTAGACAATTTTGATGAGGTGTCATAGCATTAAATGAAGAAAGAAATGGTGGAGTATCATATTATAATACCGTATTATAATAATTGCTATGCTACTTTGTGTCATGCATGGCAATAAATAAAGTACTACATGATACTGATATATGATACTATGCATTAGGGAGGTAGTATCATACACTAGCATCATATGCATGATACTAGTATATGATACTCCCCATTACAACCAGCCTGAATCATTAAACCATATATGTCTAGCAACAATCAACCATTGGTGGTTGGATGGTTAAGAGGTTCTGGCTTAGCATGGATCAAACTTTGTTGTCTCGTTAATGCGGATTACACATCTTTTCAGTGGAAGTCAATGTTTCCATCTATAGGAAGGTGCATGTAGACAACAGTCATTGTAGTGTTTGGGCACGTGTGTGTACTTCTATGTTCGTATGGTACTTTTTTTCGTTCCTTGTTTGAGTGTGTTATTAATAATGTTGAGTTCGCTACTGCAAGTGCATGTAATTCCCATGTGTGGTTTTGATAATTAATGACAATCCTTATAGAATGTTTTCATTGAGATATATTTGAAGGAAAATTTCATACGCAATGCATGAAGATTATTGGACTGGTTGAAGGATGAAATCCACCAACACAAATATGTGCATTGAGACTTGGTAATGAATGAAAATTCATATGGAGCAACAATGACATCAAGCTATAAATGAAGATATGTTTAATGGGTGATGCAATAAGGAGATTGGATGTATTCAGATTGAGAGCCACCAAAATCTTGATATGCTCCAAGATTGAGTTCATTAATTGAATCAAATGTGATCGAGATGGATTCCATGTGATGAACAAGACCTGATCTAGATGGAGTTCATTGGAGGATATCAAAGGCTGCCATGCTTAGGCTAATGAGTTGAGCCATGGTGGATGAAGATCTTGCGAGAATGGTTAAATAGAAGAATTCTATATATGGCTTGAAGATTGGATCATGATTAGCTCATTTGTTGAATAATTGTTGATCAAGTCTTGAAGCAAGTAATTCAAGTGAAGAATTCATTGTGCCACTCAAGAGATTGTGATAGAGCATGAAGAACAACAAGTGACGACCAAAATGAGAAACTTGATATGGTCATGAGAGAGAATTGAGATATTGGTGATCATGTCTTAAAGCAATGAAGCATAGTGAAGAGTTTAATATGGCCTGCGAGACACCGAGATTAATCAGAGAGTAAAGATAAAGGTTGACCAATATGAAGCTCGATGAAGCACAAAATGATGTACCACATGGGATCTTGTGGTATGGTAAAAATTTATGAATTGTGCCATACTATGTATTTTCTATGTCTATGTTGGTTAGGTAATTCTCGTGGGCTTGCATAAAAAAGATTTCTAGTAGCCCATGTGAGGATGTCATCGGGTGAGGATAGTAATCTAGTTTGGTAAGGACAAGTCCAAGATAGGAATCCCGAAGTATTACATACTTGAAGCTTG